GAGAGAGAGAGAGAGAGAGAGAGAGAGAGAGAGAGAGAGAGAGAGAGGAGGCATGCCGCTGATGTAACGCGGTACAGGCACGTACCCCTGTGCGCGTGCATGTGTGCGTGCGTGTGTACGCCGTGCTCAATTACACGAGATTAATTGCGCAGTATCGTGTCTGTGCAAACCAAACGCGGCGCGGCGCGGCGGGGCGGGTCTGTTGGAGTGCATCGTGCGCCCCCTCCTATCAACCCATGCTGTGTACCGCCGCCACCGCCATCTGCCGACGAGTTTTAGTCGCGCGATACGACTCCGGGCGACTCGGCGTGACCGCGACAGTTCCTGCTGCTGCAGAGCACACGGAACGCCTCGGTGACACCACCCCGCCGCCGGGTGGTGGTGAGCTGGGGCGCCCGGCCGCAGGGCGCCTGCTGCTTGCGGCTGGGCCGGCCCGCACGACGGCGCGGTGCGGCGGGCGGCCTACCCCGACTGCGGCGGGCGCTAGCGGCCGGGCCGGGCCCGCGCCCCGGGGAGCGAGGAGGAGGCAGACCCGCCGCGGTAACCTCATTCATTAGCCGCGCCGTGACTCTCGCGTCCCGACCCTTGTTTTCCTTTTTATTACGATTGAGTTGTTGAGGCTTTCGCAGCCGGCTCATGTTAAATACATCGGAGGTAACGGTTTTCCTGAAAGGGTGTAAACTTTGGTAATGGCACCCTCCAACTTTCCCCTCGAACAGCTCCCCGCCCGCGAGAGGGGTTCGGTTGGTTGGAAGAAGCGCGTCACCCAGCCGAATCACGTAGTTTGCGCGCGAACGGCGGCGCCGGCGCGTTGGTGTTGCACTAATGACTAATGGACTGTGTTTCGCTCTGACTTTGCAGATCTTCGAGGGCGTGTTCCACTTCGAGCACAAGCGGGTGGCGAAGCGTTCCGTCGACCCCAGCCCGCACCATGACACCAGGCTGCTCAGCGAACCTAACGTGAGTACGCTGCTGCTGGTATTTATTATTCAGAGTTTATTGAATATTTCGTGGTATAGTAGCGTTCTGAAAGTCAAACCTCAGCACGTTTTAAGTGTGTTTTTGTTTTGTTATTGCGTAAAAAGAGGTAAAGAAATATTGAGGTTCAAGTTTTGGGTTACCTTGCCACTGCTGGGGGAAAAATATACTGTATTAAAATCTTCTGCTCTGTACCCTGAAATGCTTCTAATCTACTCCAGACTATCCTTACCGTCAGTTGAGGAATGTTTTCGTCATTTTGATTTTTACTCGCTAAGCCGTGCCGTGCTACTGTGACCCCCCAGGTTAAGCGGGCGCTGCAGCAGCGCATCAGGAGGCGCGTCAAGAGGGACTTCCTGGAGGAGCAGGGCTCCGGGCGCACGGAGCGCGCCGCCAGGGGCGGCCCGCGCTCGGAACGCTCCAAGACCCCCGTCATGTTCAACGACCCGCGGTGGCTGCAGATGTGGTACCTGGTGAGTGTCCACGCCCTCTCTCTGGAGAGTGCCACGTTCGAGGTGTGAGTGAGTGACACTTTGTTGTCGTGATGCAGAATCGAGGTGGGGGCCTGGACATGAACGTGCAGCCCGCGTGGGAGGAGGGCTACACCGGTCGCGGCGTCGTCGTCACGATCCTGGACGACGGCCTCGAGAAGGACCACCCCGACATCTCGAGGAACTACGTGAGTATGGCGGCGTTTGGCGTCGTCGCGCGGCCGTCGAGCGCCGCACTGATTCTTGAATTGGAAACTCTCTCGGTCCGCAGGATCCGCAGGCGAGCTACGACGTCAACAGCCATGACGACGACCCCATGCCCCGGTACGACATGCTGGACTCCAACCGGCACGGCACGCGCTGCGCGGGCGAGGTGGCCGCCACCGCCAACAACTCCATCTGCGCCGTGGGCGTGGCGTTTGGCGCCAGCGTCGGCGGCGTCCGCATGCTCGACGGCGACGTGACGGACGCCGTGGAGGCGCGCTCGCTCAGCCTCAACCCGCAGCACATCGACATCTACTCGGCGTCCTGGGGGCCGGACGACGATGGCAAGACTGTGGACGGGCCTGGCGAGCTCGCCACCAGGGCCTTCGTCGAAGGCATCTCCAGGGTGAGCGAGGTGTTTTAGGAGAGGGTTCGAGCCGGTCAGGGAAACGTCCGGGAAATTCATTCTGGGTCAGGGAAACATTCAAAGGGGGGCAAAATAATTGCGCGCTGCTGTGGATGTTATTACTTTTCTGAGCCAAAATAGCTCCAGTTGTCAGTATCTACTTGCTCCAATGCCTTTTTAAAATGTCAGGGAAAGTTGCGACTTTTCGTCTGGATTTCAGGAAAAAGTTGCGGAAAATAAAAATAGCTATCCGGCCCGGCCCCAGTTCGACCCTACACTGGAAATGCAAGTGTGTGAATGTCGCTCACCTGCAGGTGAGCGACATTCCATTCGTACACTTACGGGGGTAAAGGTGTGAATTTTTCCTAGGAAATTCACACGTTTACCACCCAAAGTGTATGAATAGAACGTCGCTCACCTGCAGGTGAGCGACATTCACACACTTGCATTTCCAGTGTAGCTCCTTTTTGTTCTTTTCTTTCTTTTGCACGCAGATTCGTATTTTATCTCAACGCACGTTAATGCTCAGAGTGCTTGCTCTTGCTGTGCTGACGGTTCGTGGAAACTTTCCCGCCCCTAAAGCGAATCCCCCCCATGGGCCGGACGCGAGCAGGAGGCGCGGGCACACCGAGCCGATAGACGGACGTGGCGGGACCAACTTTGGACACTGCAAAGCCATTTGGCGGGAGGGGTTGCCAGCAGGGGTTGCAAGAGCTGCAATTTAATAAGCGGCTTATCGCAAAGCTCTGCCGCTGATTACGCCGAGCCCACTGGACTCCACCGCTGGCCCGGGAGGTCGCACCCCCTCCGCCCTCCGCCCTCTGGTGTCCCGGTGCCCCTCCCCTCATCCACTCGCCACTGAAGCCGCGCCGAGCTCACACTGCCGTTCGTTCGTCTTTTGCAGGGTCGGGGCGGCAAGGGGTCCATCTTTGTGTGGGCGTCCGGCAACGGTGGCCGCGACATGGATAACTGCAACTGCGACGGCTACACCAACTCGATCTGGACGCTGTCCATCTCGAGCGCCACGGAGAACGGGCTGGTCCCCTGGTACTCGGAGGCGTGCAGCTCGACGCTGGCCACGACCTACAGCAGCGGCCAGACGGGCGAGAAGCAGGTGGTGACGATCGACCTGCACCACATGTGCACCAGCTCGCACACGGGCACCTCGGCGTCAGCGCCGCTGGCCGCCGGCATCTGCGCGCTCGCCCTCGAGGCCAACCGCGACCTGACGTGGCGCGACATGCAGCACATCGTGGTGCGCACGGCCAGGCCCGCCAACCTGCAGAGCAACGACTGGGCCGTCAACGGCGTCGGCAGGAACGTGAGCCACTCGTTCGGCTACGGCCTCATGGACGCGCACGCCATGGTGCAGCTCGCCCGCTCCTGGAAGTCGGTCCCCGACCAGCACCGCTGCGAGGTCTCCGCCCCGCACACCGACAAGTAAGATCCGCTGTGCGTATTCGGAAGACTTTCTTGGTGGGGTATGGGTCTCTAGACGCACCCGCGTGTTTCCTCCGTTTCAGGCTGATACCTTCCAAGAGCCAGGTCGTCCTACAGCTCCACGTGAAGGAGTGCGCCGGCGTCAACTTCCTGGAGCACGTCCAGGTGAGTGTCTTTGCGTGGTGCGCGCGCGCGCGCGCGCGAGCGCGAGCGTCGGGTGGCCCCGCCCTCGGCCCCGCTTTGCCTGACCTCCGCTCCGTCTCTGCTCCAGGCCAAGATCAGCCTCGCCTCCTCGCGCCGCGGCGACCTCCAGATCCACCTCACGTCGCCGGCCGGCACCAGGTCGACGCTGCTGGCGCGCCGGCCGCAGGACATGTCCCGCGGCGGTTTCACGGCCTGGCCCTTCATGTCGGTGCACACGTGGGGCGAGCAGCCCTTCGGCACCTGGCAGCTCGAGATCCACAACGAGGGCCGCTTCCTAGGTGAGGTCTCGCCCGGACCCGCCACGCCCGGCTGGTTTGTTTGGTCTACTAACGCTACCGTCTCAAAACTCGCGGCGGCCGTGGCCTCCGATTTTACGAGTTGCTATCGCATGATGTGTCCTTGTGTCCTTGCTCGTGCCTCTAACATGTTTCCTTCCCATCTCTCTCTCTCTCTCTCGCTCTCTCTAACACCTGCTGTCACACCTTGGCTCGGACTGGACTGGCATCTCAGGACGGGCGACTCTCGAGGAGTGGGCCCTCATTTTTTACGGCACGTCCAAACCCCCGACCAAAGACCAGGCGTACCCTCCCGACGTGTCGCTGACGGGCTCCCCACACCAGCGCTTCACGACCACCCCGGACGCCGTGACGCCCCCCAGGACCCCACCTCCGTCCCCCGCTGGTCGGAAGACCTCGCTCATGTCCCCTCCCTCTGGCGTCAACCTACCCCCGTTCCCCAGGAAGAACAAGAAACAGAGCAAAGGCCGGCCCACCTCCAGGCCGCCGTCTACGCCTTCGTCTTCGTCGTCGCCATTTCGCAATGCCACGCACAAGGTCACCCAGAAGAACCACCTCAGGATACTGACCACGACGCGCGAGCCCAAGGCGGACACCACCACTTCCATCCCCCGTTCATACAAGAAGTCCCAGGGCAAGGTTCCTCTTCGCAACAAGGCGTCAACAACGGCTGTGCCTGGGACCACTGTCGCGCCGCCGTCTTCCAAGTCGAAAAACGAACCCGATTCTAACTCCGCTTCGGTGTTTCAACCTTACGCCAAGGTCCACCTGTACCCCATGTTTCCCTTTCACGATGACTTGGGGTCGTCTCAGTCTGGCTACATCGGCCAGGCCCTTCCCCCTCCTCCTCCCCCTCCGCGCCCCGCGCCCCCAGTCCCCGCCCCGGGCCCAGTCCCCACCCCCGCACGTAACCCTCAGCGCGCCGAGAAGAGCGGCTCTAGGCAGCGGCATCAAGGGGAAGGCAAGAAATAATGATCTGAGCATGCTCCTTGTTTGACTTGTATTGATTCTTGTGTTTTTGTTTGATTTTGTTGTTGTTTTTTGTTGTAGCTTTTTTGATGCAGACTGCCATTTCTTTTATTGTAACTCTCTAGTTGCAGACTGTCATTCCTTTTTGTTGTTGTTGTTGTTGTTCTTGTTCTTGATCGTCGAACTGCACCTTGTTTTTTTTGTGTTTTTTTTACATATTAGTATTTTTTAAATCTTTTTTTCCACTTTCCTACAGTAATTTTTTAAAGTTTTAGTTTTTACTGTCCTGTGTTTTTATTTTTTTGTCTTTACTTCTATCTGCATGAGTATTGCTCTTAGAGTTCTTTTCTCTTTTAAAAACAATCTCTCTCTATCTTAATTTGTTTTCTTTGACACATCAATGACTGTCATTAGGTTTTGCATTTGCATACTGGCGTGCACTGTCACTAGACTTTTTTATCGTTACTACCGTGATGCCTCACGTACGTTTTTCCTTGTACAGGAACTCTCACTGAATGGAAGCTAATACTCTATGGGACGGAGACTGAGCCTGGCAACGATGGTGACAGAAAGTCTCCACCTTCCTCAAACACGAATGTGAACAACGGCAATCGCAAATATGGCGTCAACCGTCCCGTTAATCAATCTTCTCCAAATCAAGGTAAGTGCTCCAGTGCAGTTCCCACATTTCTACGCCTCATTACACGAAGGGGTACCGTTCCCATCATTTGTAGGCAGTTTTGATCGGACCATATTGACTCGACTTTCATAGGTTTCTTTTTAGTCTGGCTACCGTATACATAGATTGTAATTGCTAATTTTATCGGTTTACCACAAAAAATAGCTTAGCAGGGATATGTCTAAAGCAACTAAAATAGTCTCTAAAACATGAAGTAATTCATTAGATAAAAATCTCACTAAATTGCTGTACATATTCTTCTAGAAATCTTTCCAGCATGTTGCACCTTAAGTGTGGTCTGTAGTATTTGGCTGACTTAGCTCACTTAGCTTCATTGAACTCCAGTAGAAAAATCAATTTTTAATACAATTTACACTCACTTGTGTGATATCTCTTGTTGCAATGCAAAGTGTGTTACATCTTGACGTGGTTTTGTTTGTGTGGGGCTGTTTGATATGGTTATTATGCTTCTTATTACTCTTTGCTTCGTGTGGTCTTTTAAATATTACATTTGATGTGGATACTGGGGTTTGGGTTTTGTACATAGAGTGCTCTGGAATATTTCAGGCAAAATAGGGCTGGGTGAATTTATTTTTGTGTTTGCTTTGTTTTTCAGGTATTCTCCAGTTTTTGTTGAGAATTGCGAGGCCCTTTATTTGTTATAATTACAACTGCTAGTTGGTCGGCTTAGTTAGTTTTGTTGTATAGGTTCAATGTTGAGGGGCTTTTATTTCCAGTGGTGTCAAACCATGAAGTAATTGTAAAGGATTTGTGTTGCAGTATTATACAATGGCTTTAAAGTAGAACTAACACTGAGTTTGGTGTTTTCATTTTTTCTTTTGTGGAACCTTGCTGCTCATGTAAATGAGCCTCCTAATTTCTTCCCAAACTGACTATCCGTTGATATCATTCGACCTATTTTTCTCTTGATACCACTTTACTTTCTACATGTTTTCAACCAATACTGAAATGAAAGCAAGCAGCTTAACTTATAATAAAATTTGGAAGGGTCTGTGTAGTATGCACTGGTAACAATTGAGATAAAAACCAACAGTTAACTAAACAGGGTCTTTTTTAAGAGTTTCTCTGAAAAACACAGACCAGTCTCTGAAATACACAATTTCTTGTGGAGACTTCATCTATTCTTTATTACTGGACATGTGTACTTATACCACAGCAACTGTGGTACTTTACTACATTAGTAGTAAAACTATCTTCTGCATGAAATTTCCCATGTTGATTGTTTTAGTTTAAAAGGCTGTACATAAATGACTACTCCACTGCATGACTATTGACAAAAGCACATCTTCCCTAAATTCTATCAAAACTACATTAGTGTACTATGCTGCTGTAGCACTAATACTACTTCAAACATTACATCCTAAAGACATTGCATGTATTCTAAAACGGTCTTAGTTGCCAAGATTACATCAACAATAGAATAAATGGAGCCTATTCTCCAAGTAATGAAATAACATGGATTATGATGTGCATGTAGCTTCGCATGGTGAGTATTCAATTTTGTATTGCTTTGGGCTAACACTATTTATTAAGATTGTGTATGTGTATGATGGAATACAACATTAGTACCAGTGGGTCCTTTCCATTCTTTTGAAGTTTTTTGAAAGAATGCATTTTGATGTCCAGCAATACAACACAGATACTTTACCATTAATTATTAAATTTCATTTTAAAAATTTGCTAGCAGTTAAACACTTTATCTGTTGCATCAGAACCTTACAAATGAAACTTTGTGATATTGTCTTCCATGTAGATTTCTGGTTTTTCTAAAGCTTGTGGTTGTCAATGAGTTAATGTTGTAGAGTGCCTCTTACAGCAGTTTCTGTATTTAATGTGGCTTTCACAGATGAAAACGTCGTGGAGCCCGACATTGGGAGCCCGTGGAAGGAAGTCCATGTGGGTCACACTCATAATGAGGTTCGAGGCACGACTGAAGATGGCATCTCGAGTTCCGGATGTCTGTCACAGGACTCATCGCATCGTTATTGCCTAGGTTTGTGTTTACTTTTAGTTCTGTTGCTTCAGCTAGTGACAGCTCCACAGCTGCTTTATGGGAATAAAATTCATCAAGTATCAAGTTGTAAGAGCCAAAGACCCTTTTTTGATGAAACAGGTCCTAGAAAATTGTCAAGGCTTAAAAACTGTCCCTGTAAATCCAGGCCATGTTCTGTCTTTCAATCTGAATGCAGTTCAATTCCTGTAGTTTTGTCAGCTATTAGACATAAATCTTCATTAAGAAATGAATCCTCCTATGAGAGCTTTGTTATAGAAAATCATAATAGTTGTATTCAAACATCTTGTATGTCAAATAGACTTGTTTCTACTGGAAATAATTGTTTCAAAAGCAAATGGCATGGAAGGAATGTGTTTGAGAGTTCACAACTTAATTGTGTCTAATGATGCAAGAATTTGCTTCATTCCCAGTGGTCCAAACCGTTACTGTTACAATCTAGTTACTTAATTATATTTAATTGTTGAGAAAGAATCACCCATAGAGTTTGTTTAATAACTGAGTATTTATTTCTGTACCATATTTTATTTAAGTGATTTATTTTATTTTCATTATTTTAGAAATTTGATGTGTATGTTCTCTTACTTATGTGAATGATGGCCAAGGACCCAAAGTATCCTTTTTTAACTCATGAAATGAAAGTTTTCAGGCACTCGAGATGCATTCACTGAAGCTTTTAATTTACCTTTGTTGATATTGTGAATCTTATACTCAGTTACCACAAGATTCACTTAATATTCTTCCTTGATTATGTGAGACTTTGTCTTCCCAGCTTGATGAAGAGCTTTACTGAAGTCAAGTGATAGGTTGTTCTTTAAATGAAGTTCTGTTGTCCATAGTAAAGACTGATGTGTGATCAGAGTGGATATCTGGCCATGTTTGCACCGTGGCCATGATGTATGGATTTGTTTAAGCTAGCTCCAGTTGCATATCTCTGTAGGTCATTTCTTACGCTTTTCCTATTTTATTATGTATTATTTCAGTTCCTATTCCGGTAGTATTTATGATTGATTAAGATCAATCCTTATCAGATTTTAATCATTGTGGAGCTGTTTGTACTTAACATTCCACTAATGATTTACAATTGAAACCATGATTTGGTGCAAGAAAACAGAAAAAGACTGGTGTATACAGATTAGTTCAGTATTTGCACCAATATGCCTACTTGAAAAGTGTTTCTCTGGTAGGTAAAAGGACACACTTCAAAAAATTACATTTCTTTGAAAACACTCCAGTGAGTATGTGTTATAAGTCATTGAGGTAAAAGCATCCTGGGTAGGCTAACAACCAAAAGATTTATTTAAAAAGGGACCATCTCAGCAAACGAGGGGGTAAAATGTTTTCTAGGTTTTCTGGTTAGGTAAGTTTTACGTTCTGTCAAGGCACAACTAAGATTTTCCATGGCTGTACCCTGGATGTTTGGCCTCAAACCCCAAGCTGTACTCATTGTGGGTATCAAAACTATTTTATCAGGCTTTCAATAATTTCATCTAGTCCCACTAAATAATTAGTAGAACCATCAGAGTGACAATATTGATACAAGTCTCCCAATAGCAATGTATGTGACCCTTGAAATACTATTTATTTCAGTTGTTTTACTGAAAATGGGTCCTATTTCGAGAAAGATTCTGATAATATCATTAAGTTAGGAACACGTAATCATGCCTTCCTGATGAAGATTTGTGTGCTAGTAGTTATTTGCTTTGCCATAATTTCAATGTTTCATGATAGGCTAATATTATCGATAGAACTTTTGCTCATACCAAAGAACTGAGCTGTTTTGCCTGCTTTCCTTACAAATTTTAAATACATATTTTCTAAAGAGGTTGGACTGGCAACCTGGCCACTGAGATAAGTCATCTATTTCAGTGAAGAAAGAGGTGCTGTGATTATTGGATTTTATTAATTCTTCTTTTTTATTTTACATTCAAATAAGCAGATGCAATCTTTTAATGTTTTTACTTTGAATTCCTTTAAGATTTTTTCAAAAATTTCTTTTTAAACTTATTGTGATTTGGAACTGCAAGAGTTTGTAGGGATGCATGGTCAAATGCTGCTCAGCTGATAAGATATGTTTTATTTTTGTCTAGTTTACGTCCTTCAGTAATAGATTTTAAAAACCTGGTGCATTAGTCTTATCAAAATGTGTAGAACACTCACTTGTGACGATGTATATCATTCATGATCTGTTTGGTGTCAAAACCTCCTTTTTCTTAACTTAACTTATTTGTTTGTTTCTTAATATTTTGACAGTGATCTGTTTCACTATAGTTGTGTATTTTTAAGAAATTCTGGACTGTAAGTTTTTTGTAAGTCAAGACCCTTACTTGATACAGGGCCTTACATTTTCCTTGCTCAAACGGGATACAAAAAGTTACCTAACTATTAGGATTGTGTCAAACGTTTCGATCATCAGTAAATAATGTGATAAGCTAAGGCTCCTTAATGTAAGCTCTAGAGAGCTGAACTCTATAGACTCAATCTTTCAATCAACTCTGAAAATTTGTAGGTGCGCAGCAAACTTTATGTTGCCACTTCTTTTCTACATTTGCAAATGTTGGTTATTTTGAAGGGAAGTGTGTGTGAACTGTAACCTCAAAACCATGAAGTGACAGCACACCTTCTAAAAAAATATTTGTGTGTGTGAAACTTTCACCTTCTAATTTTGTTATGAAAAGAGTTGGTAGATGTTTCAGCATTGATATTGATTGTCGAAGAAACAGTGGCCTGTGCCTTCATTATTGAATTTAAAGCATATTCATAATTTTACATCAGTATTGAAAATTTTGGCATTTCCATTTTACCCCAGGCACTTAATAAAATAGATGTGGGTTGGTTCAGAAAAATATACTGTAATCTTTTACATCCCTCTAATGTATTTACTGAAGTTCAAAACAACAAAGTTCAACTTGCCAATTGCATAAACAACAATGTGATATCACTTATTAATAGAGTGCAATATGCATAATTTAAAAGTAATCTATTTCTTAAGTATTTCATTTCGTGCAAGTTGTTTTTGTGTTGAAACTAATGAAAGTCTTCAAAAGTTGTTATTTCTTAATTATAGTGTTTGGCAATTTTGATTTTTTAAAGTTGTTGTAAAGTTCACTTTTTAAAAAGTTATATTTTTATCATTTTGAAGACTTACATCAATTGTCAAGCATATTTCTTTTTTTTGTTAATCACTTTGCCCTTAGTCAAATATTTACATAATACAATGTGACTTATTTGACATTTGAATGAAGACAATTAACTTACAAGGGCACTTTTATTTTACCTATTTCAAAATGTTCACATTCTATTTTTATTTTTTTTGTGACATATCTTAAAATCAGTTGTTTTCTGTTTTTAAAAATTTGGCAAGCATGAGTGAAAATGGATTTTTTATCAATCTTCTGTCCAATTTACCTGGAAACAAATTTGTTTCTGGAGAAGGGATTCTGATCCAAACTACTAGTAGTAAACTATTTGTTTGAGTATAAAAGAAACTTTTCTTATTTTATTAAATTTCAAAGCAAATGTTTATCTACATGTGGGGGCAAATCTAGATTGACTCTTATTACTACATATCCAGAACATCGTTTCCTACTTAGCTATAGTTAGATCATTGTTTTCTTGTATGGATGAAGTATATAAACCAATAAATGGAATGTGTTTTGTTTGATCTGATGATAATGTCAATTTATTTATTCAAAGTGAAGGTTACTTATAATGTTTAAATATTTATAGAGAGCTGACTGGTCATGTACTAAAGACTAAACCTCCCACACACCCTACATTCTTCTTTGGCTAGTTTACATCTTCCCGGCATAAGGAAACCATAACATAACTAATCAATAATTATTGCGATCCGAAAAAAAAAGGTTAGTCTTATAGGACCAGCCAATTCCTACTGTAAAACTTTGATCGTGACAATGATAAATATTGTGTACTTCTGAGCACGTCACCTAAAATAGTTCATTGGTGAAAGTTATTATTGATTAGGAATAGCAGCAAACATGCGCTGATTCTAAAACTGTCAAGTCAAGGGAAATTTTCCCTTTAGAATTCAGTGTAATAGTACTGGGATAGTGTTACCTACCAATATTTCACTGTTTATACTTGAAGCACTTTTACAATTATTGTGGCACCATACAGTGGGAAGGTGCACTGGTATTTAGAAAAACCCACTAAATAAGTTAACAGGTGAAGGATGTGGTAATTTTCCCCTTTTCTTCTGAGGATATTCAAGTACCTGCCTGCTGTCTGCCTGCCTGCTACCACATTTGTGGTCGGTGTCATGGTGAGTCAGCTTTGACACTGTGCATTGAACTGCGCATGATGATTTGAACCGGTAGAACTTGTCTCAACTAGATCTGGTTGTATCTTAGGCTGCACATTTCTTGCTAGAAACTGATTTCTGCTTTTGTTCTCATGTATAATTTCATTGTATTTCTCTCTTGTTCATTAAGAATATACTTTCTTTGACTTATTCTAGTCAATCAGTTGTTAATTTCTTTCCTTTTTTTTGGCTTTGAATTACTGGTTTTAAGTAGCTGCATGACAGATTTTTTAAATAATCAAACCTGTTGGAAGATATACGGTACGTGTAAGGGAAAGTACACATAATTAAAAGGTGGAAACATATAGAAGATGAACCTTAACTGATTTGTCTCTCGTGTGTACTTATTTTATACCTACCCTGTAGATCCTTTTCTTTTCCTTCTGCTTTCATTTTGAGCGTTTTATTACTTTTTTGACTTTACATTTTGTTTGTTTGGGTGTGTGGTTTTATTGTTTTGTGTGATGTTAGTTTCAAATATTGGTGGTGGTGCTGCTGGTGGTGGTAGTAGTAATATCTATACTCTTTTTGCACTCTCATTTTGGCTTTCATTACTTTAAAACAAATAGAAAAATAGTTGTTAGTAGCTTTGCTGCTAATACCAATTAATTTTTAAAATATTTTGATCACTACTATATGAAACAGGCCTAAATCTGAAATCCAAATCAAATTTTACTATGTAGATATTATGTAGAAATCATGTAATCGATCATATTATTTTTCCAGTGTATTGGTTTATGTGCCACAACCAGTGTAGCAAAGTGAAGGCTTCAAGCGGGAATTCCCAAGGGAAATCCACTTTATTTGCTACCTAAATAACATTTTTTAAAAATTCTCATGCTGATTTTCAGAATGTGCTCCAAACTTGTGGCTATGGCAAGGCCAATGTGAAGAGAAGTGTCCAAACCGTACTTACTCCACTATTGACCCAGCATCTCACATTTCTGTGTGTTCATGGTGCCACTACTCCTGCAAGTACTGCGTAGGTCCCAATGACTACGAATGCTCTGCTTGCTTTGGCGATGCAACCCTTTACCAGGTAGGTATCTGTGATTGAGAGAGTTAACTTAGCTAATTCTATCTCTGGACAGTACAGTAGAGGGACAGTCCGAATGTTTTTGCGATACCACGAACTTTCACTTTATTTGACATTTACTCATTGTGTTTCAGATGAGTACTGCAGAGAAGTTTTGTTACCCAAAAGTGCTGCTTCCTGCCATGGATACTGCCGCATGGTATCAAAAGACTGTCATTGTTTTTTCTATTGTTGCAGTTTTACTGTTTGTTCTTATAGCTCTTTTTATTGTAAATGTATTTTATAATGGTAGAATTTCCAATCAATATAAAATTGTTAAAACATCTGAGGACAGTTGAAATGTGGCACATGTGCCTCACCTTGCAAACCATAATTTAAAAATTTATATTTGTCTTTATTTGACATGATATGTAAAAAATTGTATGTTTCAGTGGAGAAAAAGACTGAAAAGCATAATTCCAATTATGCAACGATTTGATGATACTAAATTTTGATACTTTGAATTCCATTTGAAATATAGGCTGTTTGTAGTTATCTTGTCTTGTCAGTTCTGTGATGAAAACCAATAAATGTGAATAATTCTTAGGGTCAAAGTGACAAGTCAGATATTGTACAAAGAGATATGTGTAATATTTTGTAGGTTGTTTTCTCTTTCTAAAAATATGACTGGAGAATCAAGTTTTATACAAAGTAAAAAGAAATGCAATGAGTCTTACTGTTCCAAAGGGTGGGTGAGTTTTGACAGATTTCTTTCATGGTTTCTAGATAAGTTCCTCAATGAAAACATTTTGGGTCCTCAGCCTCAGGGTCCTTTTTCCCTTGGGCCTTGAGGCACAGCATGCCTGAAAATTCCTTTGACATACTAGGTTGAAACGGGGAATCTATAAAAATATTTTGAACACCATGGTAAAACATGAGAAAAATACATTAAGGACTAAGTTTCCTAAACCGTTACCCCTAGGAAGCTGCCCATAGGACCTCTATTTTGGTCTTGGTGGGTCACTGTGATGCTAACTCACCTACCCATTAGTACAAAAAGACTCCAATGTTTTTGAATTTGTACTGTTTTTATATGTAGATTTGAAGAATATGAGTGATCTCTTGAGTGCAATAAAATTTCTGTGATAGTTACATGTCAGTTACAAGACTCGCATTCTGGTATGAGCAATATATCCAAATATTACCAGGTAATTTCGGACACTTATGAACAGATTAAGCAAATTCTCAGACCAAAAGCCTTTAATTTTTAAATAATGTTACTCTCCTCTCCAAGTGACTTCAACCTCATCAGTGCGATACCTGTAAGAAACAGAACAGCATTTTATAATTTTGAGACTAGTCATATCAGGGAACATTTTCTTTTCAGATTTTTTAAGTCCCAAACAAACCTTTGAGTACATGTAGTTTCCTCCCATAATGTTTTCCAACCATGCGAAAACATTTCTAGTCCAGCATGAGCAATCATAGCACCATTATCAATACAAAATCTATCATCTGTAGCAAATAGCTTGGCGTTGCGTTCTTTACACATAATACCCATCATTTCTTGAAGTCTTAAATTACAGCCAACTCCTCCTACAATTAGGACTTCAGAAGATTCACAGTGAGCCATAGCTCTCTCTAGTAAATGTCAAAAACTAAAATTAATGGTTGAAATAAAACACTCACAGTGAAATGGTTAGTATTGCTAATAATTGAATTACCTGTGGTTTCAACAAGCATGGCAAAAATAGTCTCTTGCAAGGAGAAGCACAGGTCCTCTGCAGTATACTCTCCCAAATCAAGCAGACTTTCAGCACGTTCTTCCATAAAAGATAAAATACCCGAAAATGAAACATCCATACCTTTGACTACATACGGCATTTTCAGTAATTTCTTCCCGCTATAATCATAAATTTAACATAAATACAGAACACAAGAAACTACTCCAGTTGATTTCTGGAATAATACATACTTTTTGGCCATTTGCTCAATATTGTAGCCTGGGCTAGGATCATTTGACAATTTAAGTACCCTTGCAAATCTGTCCAAACAATTTCCTACAGCTATGTCAATCGTTTCCCCAAAGATACGATACCTTCGCCGAGAATAGGCAATTACTTGTGTGTTGCCTCCACTTACATAGAGCACAGTGGGGTTGTCTGCCCCAGTGATTAGCCGCCCCATCTCAATGTCTAGAAAACAGGGGTTAAGGATGTTGACACAGAAACACTTTGCACAGAAATGTGGAATGTGGAAAGATCCCATAAAGAGAAAAGGATACGACCAATACAGTGATTAACTCCAATCACAGGCTTGTTCCACAGTTGAGCAACAGTCAAGGCAACAACTGATGTGGACACAAGGGGCGCTCCCATGCCTGGACCTTTGGTGTAGCACACAACATCGATATCTTGAGGTTTTACTTTTGCTTCATCCAACGCCTCCTGAAGAATTATAAGGGCTTTCTCACGATGGTGTTGAGCAGTTTCACGAGGAAGAAATCCTGTATGTTAAGAATGCAATAAACAAAACTTGGTAAACTGAAAGAAAAAAAACCCATTAAAAATACCAAGTAGTTTACAAACCTTCCCCTGGAGGTGTAATGTAAGTTCTTCGACAGTTTGACAGAACCTCTCCATCTTTCACTATACCAATACCAAGTTTGTTGGCACTGCCTTCAAAGCCAATGGCAATAACCATTTTGTACAGTTGTATATTTAGCTTGTATAAATTCAATTGTAATATATTATGCTGTACAGTGAATGTCACAACCCCGGTCGCGACAGTTATAGTGAAAGGAAAACTCACTGCAAGCAAGACACACGCAGGTTATGTTTATTGATGTCTTGGCCATCACATTTGAAAAAGGTGCAGTTCGCGGCGACGTACCCTGCATAGAGGCTAGAAATTGCCAAAATACGTAACAATGAATTTTTCGTCACATACCTAATACCAATATCAATCCAAGAACAACTCCAACTTCACGCTTGCTGGCTGCTAAATTTATCAACAGAGAGGCCGAGGCAATGACAAAGACAGAAATTATTGTGTTGATTTTTACATAGTTTTTGTGATGATCCTTGTTCTTCAGATCATGGGTGTTCACATGTCATGAAAATATATTCTAGGGGAAATGGTCGTCAGTCATTCGCCATTACTGTGTTTGTTTGTTATATGCAATGATTGTTCAATGAGTGCGAATCGTTTTTTGTACTCCCTCACTCAAGCCTGAGGGTCATAGAGCAGGACTGCGCCTACACCAATTTTTTTTCTGGGACCTCATTAAAATGCGCAACCTTCGAACTGTCGAACCTTGTTTTTTGCGTCGAATGTTTACTACTGTTGTCATGATGGTGGTAAGCTAACCTACATCTGTTACCTCTATTTCAGTCCGTTATTCAATAATTTAGATAAAATCTAGTTCATTACAGTTTTATTTTCATTATTGTTCTTGATGCTACTTATATAATTTCGTGTTAATCATCTTAGGCTCTTTTCATGTTTGCCTAGCCCATGTAACCTAACCTATCATAACATTGAAATAACTAAACTCCTGTCACATTACATTCCTATTCAGTCAACTTCTACTTTGCCAGTGCTTACATAGTCAATTTTTTGTACTGGATTATCCCATATATTGATTTTTTAAAATTTTCTCAGTATAATCATGTTGTGATATTTCAGATTTGTACATGAACAAAGAATTAGTTACTGTTTCATGATGGATGACAGACGCATTGCTGACTACTTTGTTGTTGCTGGGTTACCCCCACAACCTCAGCATTTAGAAGATGTGTCTCGAGATGGGACAATGCCTAGTGGGTTGGTTGGGCCAGCCCCCATCACAGACTTGGCTGTCATCTTCCCCAGCCTTGGGGAATCTCCTCCCCCAGGTTTTTCCCTTTTAGAAGTAACTCCATCAGGTAATTTATCCTATAATGAGATTTACATCAAAGAATTTTAGAAGCATTGTGTATTACTGAAAGTTTCCTCCTTTCTAACTCATCAAAGGGCTACCGGCAAATTTAAACCATGGAAGTTATCGAACCCCTGAAGTTTTTCTTTGCTACAGAAGAGGGAGAGATAAACCTCCTCTTGTTGATATTGGGTGAGTATTCTTGGAAAATCGTTTCAATTTTGATCAAAATTTTATTTTTCATTTATAACTCAACTTATTTCAGAGTTATGTATGAGGGAAAGGAAAGAATTATGCAAGATGCCGAAGTAGTTAAGAAAACGCCATATGGAAGAATTGCAAATGTGAACAATTCCACTGCTCACATTTTTGTGACCTACCGCCGTGCATCACCCACCATGCCTTGTAATGAACTAGTTGTTACTGATGTATGTGTTATAATTGAAAGCAAAGGAGAGGACCCGCCACCTGCATTCTGTGTTTTGAAGAAAAATCTCAACAAGGGAATGGTAGTACTTATTACACTAACTGTGCTTTCATCTTTCAATTTTCTGATCTTGAACTGTTTTATCTAATCTATTTTTTTTTTTCAGGTTGGATCTGTTGTGTATTTGTGCTACAAGAAATCAATGAACAGAGCTAATTTGATTTCTTATAAGCCAGATATTTTGTCTCGGTACCCAAGACATGATTTATCAAACTTTCCATTCCCTGTATCTGTTCCCTTGTTTTGCTTACCTATGGGTGCTTCTTTGGAATGTTGGCCTAAAAAGGCAATGCAACCTAGACCTGTGTTTTCAACATTTGTCTTAACTGTATCAGATGCATCTGAAAAGGTATGTTTCTTGTCTAAGTACCGGTATGAAGCATGGTATAACATGACATTAATTTACAACCTGATCTTATATGTCGTTTTTGAAAAGGTTTATGGATCTGCAATAACTTTTTATGAGCCATACCCTGAAGAACAACTAACTGATGAACAAATTGAACTCCTCCAACTACCCAAAGATGCAGATCCTGAAGATTACACATACAATGTGAACAAGTGCATCTGTCTGCTGTCTCATTGGCCATTTTTTGATACTTTTGAACACTTCCTTCTGTTCCTGTATAGCATGGCTTGCAGCGGCCCCCAACCTGTTCCTATTGAAAGGTGGTATATTATTTTCAAACTACTGATTTAAATAAATCTAGCTGTATTTACTCAACCAATTAGCAGATTTACAGATTAAACATTTTAATTTTTTTACACTGCTTATTATATTTTCACAGATATATATCTCATTTTTTGGAAGACGTACCATTTCCTTCACCACAACGTCCACGAATCCTGGTTCAACTTTCTCCTGCAGATAGAGTCATACTTACTCAGCCTGAAGATTTACCATTACCAAGGAGTGGAGCCCGATTTCGTAGTCTGCTGATCAATTTAGGCCCTGACAATTGTTTGCTTGTTCTTTTGTGTGCTCTCACTGAACAAAAAATTCTTGTTCATTCACTGCGGCCTGATGTTTTGACTGCTGTAGCAGAAGCCATCTCAATGATAATATTTCCTTTCAAGTGGCAATGCCCTTACATTCCATTATGTCCTTTGGGCCTTGCTGAGGTCCTACATGCACCTCTCCCATTTTTAATAGGAGTTGATTCTCGTTTCTTTGACCTCCATGATCCTCCAATTGATGTAGTTTGTGTTGACCTTGACACTAATTTAATAACATTGTAAGTACTTAACCATAATAATTTGTTGATTTTGATTTATTTATTTTTGCCTGCCTTTCTTACAGTGATGTTTTTACTCTTTCTAGATGTGATGAAAAACGCAATCTAAATACTAAAATACTACCCAAAAAGCCAGCTCGTACCCTTCGCAATACTTTAGAGACTTTGTATCAGAAAGTCAACCAAAGCATGGAAAATTACATTAATTGTAGTTTACAAGACTCTTCTCATGATGCTGGTATTGATAGAGATTTCCAGATGAGAAGAAAAGAGGTATGAATTTGTCCTTCATTTTATATTTGTCTGTTTTCTAATGGAATGACATATTTTATTTTATATTATAAAACGTTATTACTAATTTAAATGTTACACTTGCAAACATCTTAAAATTTAGCAAGTTCTAGAGTTGGAGATTCAGGAGGCCTTCTTAAGATTCATGGCTTCAATCATTAGAGGCTACCGTGTCTACTTAATGCCAATTACGAAAGCCCCCACCATCGGTACAACCGACCCCAACTCCCTGTTTAATTTAGGAGGTTAGTTAGATGGTTCTTATCAATTATATTTTCAACTTAAGTCTGTTTTTGTTTAATACTTGTTTTACTTGTAGGGTTTTTACGCTCCAGGGACAAATCATATCATAAATTTTACACACTTGTAATGAAAACACAGATGTTTATTCGTTTCATTGAAGAACGATCTTTTGTCTCTGATATGGATGCTGGGTTGGCATTTTTTGATATTTGTTGTGAAAAGGTAGCGTTTCTGTTCACATTTTTTTCACTTCTTTTCTCCTCTTTTACTCTCTGGTTCACAATCCTTCCTTTATTCTTTTGAAATTTAGATGAACTCTGAGGACAGTGTTACTCATTTAATTGAGCTTGATGAGGCCCTGAACAATGAGAGAACTGTATTCATCATGCCTCCTGAACCTTCACCAAACTCAACTACAGCCTACACTTACAACGGAGTAAGATTTATATCTGCATCGGAGCAAACTTTTCAGGAATGGCAGTTATTTTGCATTTTCCGTTGTGTAACCATGATTATTTTGCTTGCTTAGCGCTTCACTTTAAATCCTGCTCTATTCAGCTCAAAGGATTTGAAAGATGTAAAGCACCTCCTTCGTATTGGAGGAGGTCGTTTGAGCAATAGCTCTGGAGGCCTAGGAGTACCCGGAAGTCCAATGGCCCGTAGAACCAAGCACGAGATAAAATCTGCTCAGAAGTTAGCTCGGAAGTCTGCATCTTCACCAGAACATTGGGCAAAGTGCCTTGTAGGTACTTGTTACAGGTATAACTCACACGCTCATGTCTATAACTTTAATGCAAATCAAACTTGCCTTATTATTTAATTTTATCCCTATTTTATTTATGTTTCAGTTTATGGTTCATTCATTTACCCAGTTATATTATGATGAACCCACGGAAAGCATCAACATGCCTACGCACAGCCTATGACCTACTCAACATGATGCAGAGAATGAAGCTTCAGCCCTCAGATGAAGTACTAATTTGAAACTCATTGGTGCTGTGAGGATATTAGAACATGGGTGGATTTTTAACCAAATTCGTCTTTTAGGTTTGCTACAGAGTGATGATGCAGCTTTGTGGGGTGTACAGCACCCCAGTTCTGGCAGTCAAACTTCTTTTTCTAATGAAGCGAAGTGGAGTCCAACCTAATGCTATCACCTATGGATTCTACAATAGGGCTGTCTTAGAAGCCACTTGGCCATCAGATATGAATAATTCAAGCCAATTATTATGGAATAAGCTCAGGTTAGTTTTACATTATCTCTGTACCATGTTGGGGATATCTGAAAAAGGAAAAAAAATATTAATACTACGTTGAAGAGTATTCTTGTTTTTTGTTGCCTTGTTTTTATTTTATTGACCTCTGACTGCACTAAATACTTACTTTTCACAGACTGGTGTCATATGACTTTTTCTAGATCCATCAGTCCTTTTTATTTAATCTTCTGACTGTATTACCTGCACATAGCTTGTAACTGTAGAATTGAAACATTGAATCAAACCATTGTTTTTTTGCACCAAAGCTGAATGTACTGTACCATAGTTATACATACTATATAATTTACCTTGACGGGTTAGTGGTTAAAGTATGGTATCTGCTGTCTATCCTTTCCTATCAAACTGACTGCTTTTATCAATACTTCCTGACAATTACTTTTGTAAATTGAAACTAACTTATTTTAAGCCCTTAGAACTAATTGGCCTTCTTGTTTCACGGTTTTAAATGTCTCGTTAATAATTATTGTTTTGGTACTTTAATCTGACATTCATGAGTAAAATTGATGCAACTAGTGCACCATACAGATGAGAACTGGTACTGACTTGTCTCTTACTTAAACATCAATTAGTTTGGGTTTGCATTATCTTTTCAAACATTTCTTTTTCCCCTTGGTTTTGTAATGTTCATTTTCTTTCAACTAAATTGTGCAAAAGTGTCTTATTTCTATGAGCGCAGAGACATGATTGTACACCGGTTGACAGGAAAGATCTTTGGTTGGCGGCTCATCGAATGGCAGTGCGACAATGGGGAGGGGATCTGTCCAGTCAGTGGGACAGTTCTGATACCACGAAATGGAGGTTTGTGGTGGAGGGTTGGAGCTATCACCAATACCACCACCCTTACTCTGCAATCATATCATTGATCCAAACCAACAACATTACTATGTGCCAAAGCATGATCTCTCTGCAATTACTAGGTGTGCAAATCTTAGCTACAGAGAATGATGCTTCTGTCAGTTCAGAACAAGTACATAAATTGCCATATCTGCTTATTGGTGAAGTGATGTTTTTCTTGGCTTTCTGGGAATAAGGTCTAAATATTTTACTAACCCCAATGGAAACTTCTTGTCCCAGCTCCCTTCAAGTTTCTTTGTTGCTCTTCATCATTGTCAAATATTTTGAGTCCAGAATAATTGTTTACAGCATTTCTCCTATTTCACCGCGCTCTATCTCAAAAAATATGAATTTTTTGTCAGTATGTGCCCCTATGTATAACAATTTTCTAGCCGTCTATAAAATGTATGCTTTTGCCCCAACATATGTTCTACTTTAACCACTGTTTCCTACTTTTCTTTTCTTCAGTGATTTTCCCTTCAGCTGATGTTTTTCTTTCCTACTTTGTCTGAAGCTTAGAAAAAGCTTACCTTCTCCCAGTCTTGTTGTTTTCATCCCACAGAAGATTACTCAATACTTGCTATAATATTTTCAGAGCGTTAAGCTTATCTCTTATCTCAAACTATGATTTTGGGCTACATGCATGTATTGTATAAGCCATGTTTATTGTTTATTTACCATTATGTTTAAAAGGTCTTTAATGTATTCATAAAATCAATTCTGATACAATACCTAATTTTCACAAGATCAATCAACCTATTTATGTCTGGTTTTACAGACAGTATAATGATAATCTTTTTATAAATATTTGTTATGCTGTATTTCATGGCAGTACTTCCGAATCTAAATAGTTCAGATTTAGTATGCAGGACTCCTAATTCTATGTTTTTAAAATATGTCTTATTTTACTTACTTTCTTTTTACAGAAATGTCATCATGGGGGCAGCTTTATTCCGCCGTGCTGGCTCCAAGGGACAAGTATCTCGTAGAGCTTCTGCCTTTGTAGAAGATGGATCATCCGGAGCTGATAACTTTGTAGATGTTTCCTCTCAAACATCATCTGTGGACAGTAATGATCCCAAAAATATTGATCAAATAGCAGGTGAAGAAAATAAACTTAAGAACGGTACGTCTATAACGTGAAACTTTCCGCAATGATGTTTCATGATCATGGAGAACAAAACAGTCAGCAATGAGGTTTCACTTTTTTGTGTAAACTAAAGGAAAAGTCTGTAAATATACTCATTACAATATTGAAACAACTGTTACGGTCATATGGCAATAGAGATTTCTGTTACCATTTACAACTGTTTTTGTTGTTTTTTTTTTTGTTTTTTTCACTCTAAAAATACTTTTTGATTTCCCCAGACTCCTTTTAATGTTTAATAGGAAAGTCAGGAGATTCACAATATTGAACTAACAAAGAAAAAAAATGGTTTTGTTCTCTTGTTAATGTATTAACCCATAATTCTATTTTGTGTGTGAAGTGAAGTGCATATGTTTTCCTTTTTAATTACATTTCTCTGTTCTACTTTGATCACTTTCCAAATAGAAGTTACTGTGTAAGGTTGTTGCAAAATCCTGCTAGAGGATAATCATTAAGTTTTTTAATTTGCTTGATTTTCTCTTCTCTCTCTTGATTTGTTGTCAGTGAAATACACATTTTCTTGGCTTTTTTATTCTTGTTCTCATCAAATTCATCTGTTTTCTTTTAACTAGGAACTTTTGATGCAGGAAAAGGAAAATCTGCCATTACTAGCTCAACTTCAACTGATTATGCTGCATTAGATCGCTTCAGAAGTAGGGTAGGAAGTATTGTGAGACCGAGTGGAGGGTCTCTCCTCAGCAATGGAAGCCTTCAAAAACAGCCCTGTAAGTCAATTTAGTGCTATTGAGCATATTGAGTAACAAATCTCTTGCCCAGTTTTTCTGAGAAGTGTAACTGGAGCCTTTCTATTTACATTTCAGTTGAAAGCAGTGCTGGTTTGTTGATGACCAGTCAATATGATGGTAAACCTGCTCCTCTAGTAGAAGAGTGCGAAGATTTGGATGCATTGCATGATTCTATATCTCCAGTATTAGAAAATGGAAAAGTGGCTTCACCCGTAAATCCTAGACGCTCCCGCGGTAGGAGTGGCAGCTGCTCGGATTTTACTTTCTCTAACAGGCTATCACAACATGAGAAAAACCCACCTTTCCATTCTCCACTTGCTCCTCATAGTCCTAAAGCAACTGTAGAACCGGGTAGTCCAATTGCACCAAATCCTGCTGAACACTTCAAAATTTTAATGAGGTAAGTGTAGTGTTCCTCTTTCAATTCTCAATGTGTTCAGTTTACTTAAATACACACACCTTTTCTGATTCTAGGTCAGAGAGTTTTGCTAATGACGCTGGTATTCTTGAAAAGCTTCACAAATTGAAACTAGGTTTATCACCTGCGACAAATGACGGCTCTGGAAATGGGAAGTCAGGTCTTTTTTCTGAGACTAGTAATACAAATGGTCCAACTGATGTTGTTAACAACACTCGTAATGTGTCATTCCCTCGAGCTTCGTCTGTGTCCAAAGCTTTGTTTGGGAGGAGAGGAAGCTTCAACTTTCGACGAACACAGGTAGTTACATGTGCATGCTTTCCCCTATTTCCCAATTCTTTTGCTGATCTAACATAAATATTATTTCTACCCTCACAGAACTCAGAAAGTCGTGAATCTCTCTCAGAAAATCCAGATGAGAGAAGCTCTGCTGAGAACAGTCGTGGGGGCAGTACCGATGATTTGGATTCTTTAGGATCCCAACATACTACACCCACTCGACGTCTCTTAGCCGGCTGGAATAACCAGTGGAATAACAGCCAGTGGAGTTCTCGCTTGTGGAACATGCGTGAAGGTCAGACTCAAGAACAGCAAGTAAATGAAAAAAATGATACTAGTGAACAGTCTCCTTCGCGTTCTCTTCCAAAGAGTCCAACAAGAACGCCTGTCACAGAAAATGATCCTCTTGGAGCCCTAGTGGGGGAAATCGAGGAGGAGGAAGAAACATCTCAATCTTGTAGAAGAGAAAGTTCTGAGGAGAGTAATAATATAAGCCTAGTGCTTGATGAAGATGGTAACCCAGTATTGTTTGGAGGGAGAAGGTCTGGAAAGGCCAATGAGAAAGGTGTAGCAAGAAGTGCAACATTCCATGAAGACGAACGTGTAGCAACAGATCAGGACTATGATTCAGGCAGAGAGGACCTAAAGAAGACAAAACTAATGCAACGATCATCTACTATCACCATGCCACTTGATTCTCAAAGTGAAACAGGTGGAGGAGGTTCAGTTGCAGCAAGTATTGGAAGTTTAGGATCCAGCTTCAAGTTACCATTTAGGTGAGTGGTTGTACTTCTTACAGTGTTTAGCTTCACTAAGCTTTGTATATTTAGAGCGCTATCAAAATATTTGACATTTATCACAATGCTTGAGTTTAGACATTTATCTGAGTCGTTTCCTGTATGAAAGAAAAGCTTGTCAACTCTAATTTTTGTACTTAGATTGTCCATTTGGTATATCACACCTAAGCTGCGTCCAGACAAGAGGGTCGCTTGGGTCGCTTGGGTTGTTTGGGTCGCTGTGGGGTCTCTGAGTCTGCGCAGAGAACCAAAACGCGGCCTCTGCGCCGGCTCAGAGACCCAAGCGACCCAAGCAACCCAAGCGACCCTCTTGTCTGGACGCAGCTCTATGTGATCCCCTTGTTCCGCCTTGTTCTGATAGTTCATTTCTTACTGCTTTAGACCACCAGGTTCTGTGAGAATAAGTAGTAGTCCCAATGTATTGTCGCTGAAAAGACAAAGTAGCCCCAATCCAGTGACATTCAAGTGCACTGTGTCTGTTCCATTCTCAGATGAGGGGTAAATACTAGGTTTTTTAAGAAGAATCTTTTCATAAATGGGGTAGTGTAGCATGAGTAGATATCTTAGCAAAGTCCCAAGAGTGACAAAGATTCACACCAATATTACCAAACAACTCCTTCATTTTTGTCCCACTAATCTAATCTGTGTGCACTTTTGAGTTTTGTTTCGTTGATCTGTAGCTATATGGATGGTTTGCACTGCATTGTGTTGAGTGTAGCATGTTATTGTTCTTGCAGCCGATATTCTCCTGGCAGGTTTAGCCTGCGCAAAGCTGACCTCCGCATCGGACAGCAGATTATTGAAAATGCAATCACTAATTTCAGGTTAGCTTTGCTCTTACCCTTCCCTTCAACCCTCTTCCTTCCTATTTAGAGCATGCATGTATAATTTAGCACAGTACTGCCTTTGTTATACATTTGTGTAATGTGCATTTTGTATGTGGATTCAATTATGTACTATTTACGTACTATTTTGTAATGTTTTGGACTTATTCCGCTATTAATTTTACTATGCATGGTTTTATTTTGATTTACATTAATCATAGAAAGACTGTTTTGTTAAAAACATGTCAGTCAGTGTACCTTTCTGCCTTCTCATATATGGTGCAATTCTATGTATTGTTTGGTTTGGAAAGGGAGTATTTTGATCTTTGATGTAATTTTGTTCAATTCTACTTAATCCCTTTTAGAAAAAATCATGACTTGCAATACAGTCTGATATAGCAGTCAATTTGAACCAATTGTAATGTCTTTATTTGGGATTTTTGTCATTATTTTTACAACTTAACTTTGCTCTTCAAGTCAAAGTATTAGTTATAAGTCCTTAGTGGATTTTGGTAATGACATTTCCGTATTATTATTTCTAATTGTTATAAGATAGTGTCCTTATTCTGCATTTTTTGCATCAAATTTTTATCACCTTATTCTTTTCCTTTTTGTGTACAAGCAGCCCAAGCAGCTTGACATCAAAAAAATCTAGTGAACTTCTTATGGGTGGTCTGAACAGTTTGAAGTCTGCTGCAACTTCAGTAGCCAAAAAGTTTGATGAGATTAAGGAAGCTGTGTCTGCAAATAACACACCAACAAAAGCAACCAATATGTAAGTACTTGACATTTTATGCAGTTTCTGCTCTTCTTGATTGAAATTTTTAAAAATGCAACTTTATCAATTGTTTAGACGTGATAGAGATCGTGAAGGTAGCTACTATGATGATGACCACCCGGAAGGAAGCTCATCAGTTGAAGAAAGTGCCAACACAAGTCGCAGCAGAAAAGTTTCAAGTGAATTCTCACCCTCTGTCACCCAAAATTTAGAGTACTGGGGAAGCAATTTGCTTGATCTATTTGGAGATAACAGCCGCAAAGGAAGCTCATCTAACTTGCAGCCACTTGGTACTAATTCTAATTTTAACCTATTCATATAAATCTCATTGTATTGTAATATTTATGAGAATATTGATTGGTTTCAGGTGAAACATCGTCTGTGACATCACAACAGATGCCAGTACTGCCAGAAAACCTTTACCCTAAACACAGACGTGATTCTCGAATACCTGTGGCCGAGAAACTCATACTTACTACCTGCTCAAAGTGTCATAACTGTGGTGGCATTCTTTATGATGAAGAAATCATGGCAGGATGGTCCCCTGAAGATTCTAATCTCAACACCAAGTAAGTTCTGCTGGACCTCAATATTGTATAAGTAAGGATTTGTGGAAAAGCCCAACCAAATATCTTATTACATTGTTTCAGATGTCAGTTCTGTGACAAAGCTACTGTGCCTTTCCTCACAATTACAGTTATGGATTATCGTAGCCATCAGAAAGCTCCAACAGGCATTAGTCAGGAAAGCTTACATTCTAGTCCACGAAGAAAGAACTCAGGCTCTCTGTCTGTAAGAGGTTAGAAATGACTCTGTTTCTCATGGTTCAAATGTTTTCTACTTTGTATTACTCAGTACTTAATTGTTTTGTCTTTTTTTTTCTGTCTCAAGTAGCAAGCTGGATGTCATTAAATTCTGGAAGTCTTTTGAGTGTTGCTGAGACAGAGGAAACCAAACAGCCAGCACTGCAACCAGATGATTTACATGAGTCCGCTCCATCTATGTCAATGATCCCAGAAAACGCTATGTCCCCTGAGTTTTTGACTCCTGTTAGTGAAACATCAGGTGCTGCCCCTTCAGAGGCTGCTGCCTCTTCCACATCTGACTATGACACCCCCACAACAGAAGTGGCTGAACCAACCGAAATTCTTGATGATGACCTGACTCAAGGCACAAGTTTGCTTGCACTTGACTCATCACCCGTGGTTGTAGATGAGAATTCTGCTGAAATAAATACAAGCCATACTAATGGTATTCAAGAAATAAATGTTCCCGAAGATGGTGCAACTCCTGTTTCTGGTGAAGCGGACATTCCTGAAATTGTTGATACTCCTAAGGTATTAACATTTTTATTTACCTATCTTTGAATTCATTAAATAAATTGTTGAACACACTATTTTTAAAGATATTTTATATTCTGTATGTTTTAGGTTGAAGAAGACCCTGTTACCCTGGAACCCATAACTGTTCCATACTTAAACCCATTAGTATTGCGCAAGGAACTTGAAAATATATTGCATGCAGAGGGTGATGTATGCCTCACCAGACCTTGCTTTGTTGATGAACATCCCATCATATTTTGGAATATGGTATGTATTAATGAAACAAGTTTGTGGGGCTTCACTTAACAAATACTACTGCTACCAACGTTCATTTATGTAATTTTGTGCTTTTTAGGTGTGGGCTTTAGAGCGTATTGGAGTAGAAAGCCATCTTCCAGGTCTCTGTCTTCAGTCTGGAACTGTACTTAGACAGCAGACTAACATCCATTCATCATGGACTAGCGCAGATCACCGCCATGTCGTTGTTCGATGCATGTGGGACAATCCACGCCTCCATGAGGAAGTAGGTCTTCCTATGTATGTTTTGTGGCAGCAAGATGATCAGCATTCCTCTTTGATTAGTGCTCTTCTTACTGATCGCACAACTGTCTCAAGACCGTTAGTACCTATTATCTATCTCTATCTATACTTTGTTTCTGACTTTCCCTTTGCAAATACATATGTTTATGATTTCCATTGCTTTATTTTTCAGAGTAATGGAAATGATTATAGCATCTATTAGGTGTAATGATTTACTAGAACCACTAAGAAAGCTGGCAACAGAGCGTCAGAAATTAAAAGGAAGAGGGGTGACACGCAGTCATTCCATCTATCGTGACATTCTATTCCTTGCTTTCATCGTACTTGGGAGGGATAATATTCATCAGGGTAAGACTGAAATTCATCTAATGTAAATCTCTAATCAACACAATTTTTCTTTTGTTTTTCATAAACTTTCATAACTTTTTCAGCTTCATTTGATCGAGAGTATGAAAATGCATTTGACAAACTCACAGAACAGGAGCGGAAGCTTTACAACCCCTGTGATCAACCTTTATCAATTCCTTCTCTGTGCTGCAGGCACTATTTCCGTGAGCTTGAACTATAGAGTGTGGTATATTTAGGGCTATTTAAACAGACTCCTAAAAAGAAAATTAGCTAAATATATTATTGGTGTCTGTGTAGACATTACTGGAAATGCTATTGAATATGTACCAGTATTTTAAATCTAATGGTTACAGAAAATGTGGAACCCTGAACTTGGCGGATAATGTAAACATTACTATATGTTACATCTGCCATTATACCAGTTCAGTATTTGGTAGAATGTAAAGTTGTAAAGAAAATAAGGATAAAAGTTGTTCTGGGTATTTTCTCACAATTCTTAAAAGTTTTGTGTCAGGCTTCTTGATTTTACAATTGGTGTGTGATGCTCTGTTTAAGCACATGCCATGTCATGTCATGTCCAAACTACTGTATAGATGTTTGTGTTCTTTAATGCTCATAGGTATTGACTTAATATTTAAGAGGAAATGGTCCAAGTAGTTTTCTTATCAAACATTTGAAATGAACAGGGTAGTACAAAATTAAATTCTACTTTTTTACTCATTGTCAATTATACGTAAGTCGGTGATCAAACGTTGTATGTTTTTGTATATATCTTATGAATACTTGAGTATTAATGTATGAAAACTAATTAAGAAATTTTAAAGATCGATTTTGTACATGGCCATCAAAAACAGTCAGTATACATTAGTATTTATACTTGGAACTACTTACATACCTATTTGTTAATTTTTATTTTATTGTAGATTGTGCATTACATTTGTCGGATTTATGTTACCTTAAATGCCATTGGCTACTTACCATAGGTTGTCAATTCTCCAATTTTATTGGCAAAATTATACTGTTCTTTTTAAAAGTGACATAGTTTAATTATCTACA